TGGGGAAGACAGTGGCATGTTATATACTGTATAATAGAATGTATACAATATAGAAATAAGGTGTTTATAACATACAGAAAAAGTACATAGGACTATCGAATATACAGCACAGCGTATACTGTATAGTGGAGCTGTGTAGACTACAGAATGTACCACACAGTGTACAGAGTGGAGTATATAGTACACAGCACAGCATATATATCTGAGCGCTGTGGCGTATAGAATGTATAGCACAATATATAGAGTGGAGCTATATACAGAATAGAATGTACAGCACAGTGTATAAAGTGGAATCCTGTAGAATATAGAATGTAGAGCACAGTGTATACAGTTGAATCCCGTAGAATATAGAATATACAGCACAGTGTATGGAGTTGAATCCTGTAGAATATAGAATGTACAGCACAGTGTATAGAGTTGAATCCTGTTGAATATAGAATGTACAGCACAGTGTATAGAGTTGAATCTTGTAGAATATAGAATGTACAGCACAGTGTATAGAGTTGAATCCTGTAGAATATAGAATGTACAGCACAGTGTATAGAGTTGAATCTTGTAGAATATAGAATGTACAGCACAGTGTATAGAGTGGAATCCTGTTGAATATAGAATGTACAGCACAGTGTATAGAGCTGAATCCTGTAGAATGTACAGCACAGTGTATAGAGTTGAATCCTGTAGAATATAGAATGTACAGTACAGTGTATAGAGTTGAATCTTGTAGAATATAGAATGCACAGCACAGTGTATAGAGTTGAATCCTGTAGAATATAGAATGTACAGCACAGTGTACAGAGTTGAATCTTGTAGAATATAGAATGCACAGCACAGTGAGCAGAATAGAGCCATAGGAAGATTATCCGTAAAAAATAAATCAAGTCAAATGGACTTGCTGTATTTTTCCTGAAGACGTTTCACTGGCCATCCGGCTAGCTTTCTCAATTCTGTGAAGATCTGTTTTGGGTGACATGGGAAGGTAATCAGATGACCAGCGATACGTCTTCAAGAAAAACACAGCAAGTCCAGTTGCGTGACTTCTTTTTGACAGATATGCCGTGACCTGGATGGATGAGAACCTTCCCAGACATAAGATTAGAGTACCGTGCAGCCATCTTCTATAAACCCCTGACACGTTTGCCATTACAGCCCTCAGCTTTACACCTATTCTCAGCATTCTTTATCATCATCTTTACAGCTCAGAAAGCCGCTCATAGAGCGTAAGAGAAGAGAGAGGATCAATTCTTGCCTGGAACAACTGAAGGAAACTGTCATCAGGGCTTTCCATCTTGATGTAAGTGTCTTCCTATGTATTCTGCATCCAATACATACTGTGTCATTTCTATGTATTTATTCCTGTCTTCACATTGCCAACATATTACACAGCACATATAGGGAGTGCACAGCCATACATACATATCAATCCCTACATGGGAGACCCGTACAATGAGACATAGATAATAAAAGGCACAAAAACTGGAGCAACCAGCAGAAAACATGGGAAAAAAATATAAACTCCAAACATATAGTGCCCCTGAGGAGAAATAAACCAGTAGACTGTGGTAGCCATTATGAATGTACCATAGGTGCAGAGTCCGGTATTCTTAGTATAAATAAGTGTAATTGTGAGAAAACCCAGTAAGGGCCCCTAGCTGACAATTATTCCTAATCCACTGGACTTGTTTCTAATTATTTCAACTCAGAAATACACTCCAGGAGCGTGTTTTGTTTTTTCTTTAATTCTTACATACATATTTTGAAAATATTCTGGTCACGTTTGAAAAGAAATACTCATTCTACATGTATAATATAATACTATTTATACTTTTATTATACTATATTTGCACTATTATACTACATTCTTTAATATTATAATAGTGTTAATATTTTTGCATCTTAATTACAGCAGTTATGTCAATCACCATTAGAAGTGATCAACATTGCAGTTTCCTGTAGAAAGGTCTCACTTTCTGGCATAACCACAATGGCTAATAAAGCCTTGCAGAGCGGATGATGTACAGAAAGGGATCAGTTCATCATTTGTTTGTTTCATGTTATAACTGTCCTCTTACGGGAGCGACGGACATAATTCATCCCAATCTTGATCTTACTTTTATTCTTAACCGGAAACCCTGAAGTGAGTTTATGTTACATATGCCAAAAATGTAAACTGAAAGTGGGACAACTTAGGCATTAAAGAGACACTAAACTCAGGAGTTCAATCTTAAAAATCCATCCATGTACCCTAACTATTAACAAAAATGTATCTTATTTGTGTATCACTCGGCTGTAGATCCTCAAATCATCTCCGAATTGGTGCTGACACTGTGCTTCCTTCTGGAGGGTGGCTACTTTTGTTCCCCATGGTCCCTGTGTGTGTTGTAAAGTAGTCACCGATCCAAGCTCACTCCTGTGATGGACTACAATCTCAATACAAATTAGTATCTAAACATCAGATTGTAGCCCATCATGGGAGTGAGTTTGGAGCTGTGACTACTTTACAATACACACAGGGACCATGAGGAATAAAATCAGCCCCCCTCCAGAAGGAAGGACAGTGTCAGCACCAATCAGAGATGATTGGAGTATCTACAGCCGAGTGATACACAAATAAGATACATTTTTGTTTAAAGTTCGGGGACATGAAGGTATTTTTAACATTTAACTATTGAATGTAGTGTTACTTGAAGCTGTTAAGGTGAAGCTGTGAGCAAGAGAAATTAAAAAAACAAAGAACCAAACAAAAAACCCCATACAGGATTTGCCTTTTAAAAACAGGTTCTAGTAAATCCTCCCCGCTGTGTGCCTTGTTGTATTTAGATATAATGACACACTAGGCACATATGGATCAGTGACTTCTGTATTAAGATTGTTATTGCATTTTACATATTTAGATTTTTATGCACCGTAGTGCCCCTTTATAAATCAGAGCATGGCACATTTAACGTTCCAGGTGTATAAATCTATATAAATGTTTTTTGTTTTTTTTTGTACACCATGTATTCTGGCTATTGGTGTATGAGAAGTGTCTAATTATTTGTTCCTTGCGGATTTAAATAAAGAATTTCAATGACTTACCTTGGCATTAAACTGATGTAAGGAGAACCAAAACAACCCATCCTATATACCACATAATCTGATACTAGGATATTACAGTTGATTGTCCCTAGACTGGTGTGAGTGCTTGGACAGAGGTGTAGATGGATTTAGCCAGAAATGCCTCAGTAATATGCAAAGAGCATCCCAGTCAATAAACTGCACCATATTTAAATACTTCATGTGTACTTCACGTGCTACCCTATTTTCTTTGTGTCCAGTTTCTAAAATGACAGAGAAATGACAGGCATCAGTTATGGCAATTCCCAGTATGAATTTAGCGACTCGACACAGAACGATTTGTGACTAAGAATGCGTTAGTGACTCAAAATATGAATGCAGACAGGCAACTTAATTAAAACATAGTATGGACACTATTAACATTGCCTTAAAATACTGTACAGGGCGTATTACCCTCCGTATTAGGATCGCTGATCCCTTGTCCCTTACTGCATTGTACCAGTAACACCGTCCTATACCGGAAGCACAGAGTGACATAGCTACAGTATATTATCTGTTGTCTTTTTAGCAGTCCAAGTTGGAGAAAGCAGACATCCTGGAGATGACAGTGAGACATCTGGAAAACATTCAGAGAAACAGAGGTTCAGGTGAGATGCTGCACATGAGTCTTCAGCACTTTTCTTTTTTGTCACTAGAGGGAGCTCTGCCACAACTAAAGACATATACAAAAGTGATGTGTCTCTGGTCATGTTTTCTCTCCTTTATCCCATGCATTGTTCCTTCCTCCTGTGGGCAAGAATGACAAGTCATATAAGTCCCCATCTGTGTGAATTGGAGGTGTAACCTTTTACACTAGCAATTTCATAACTTAAATTGTGCTAAAGCATACCCAACAAATGCCCCTTATGTGAATGGACTGTCTATCATTTGGACACAAGTCCCTCTTTCCTCCTCAGTTGTCCCTCTTTTTGGTCTGATGCAATGATATCTATGAAAAAGTGTTATTGAACTACTAAATAGCGTTATTTTGCACTAAAACCTTCATCATATCTCTTAATGATCATGTTTGATATTTTGAAAAGTCAATATTAAAGGAAGTAATAAGTAATCGTGAAAAAAAAAAAACAATTCTGGTTTTATCTGTACAAAATAAATCAAAGCAACTGCACTTGCTGTATTTCTAATGAGGATGTCATCTGACTAGCTTTCTCAATCCAGAATTCTAAATAGAGAAAGCTGGTTGGGTGACCAGTAAAACGTCTTCAAGAAAAATACAGCAAGTCCAGTTGCCTTGACTTATTTTTGACAGATATACCGTGACCTGGATGATTGAGAACCTTCACAGAGAATTCTGGGTTTAACCAATCATTTTTGGCATATACATTCCTAATGGCCATAACTGGGGGTGTGTCCATTCCTACACAGCTTTTGCCCTAGGCAAGGCAGCATCGCCGCCTTCAGCGAATCTGCCGCTCCAGGCAAATGCCTTGTTTGCCTCGCGGCAGATACGCCCCTGTTCCTACATACATTGTGCTGAAAGGTGTCCTTCTCTCTCATCTCAAAAAGTAGTGAAGCATGTAAGCACTCACGGACAGGGCCCTCCTAATCATCTTGTATTGAATTGTATCGTAACTGTGATGACGTATTTATATTGTAAAGCGCTGCACAAACTGTTTGCGCATATAAATCCAATATAATAACAATAATGTAATAATAAGTATATGTATATTGTTCAGCAATGCACTTCTGTACAGAGACCCTAAACCCTACACGTAGGATAACCTACACAAGTGTGCATACCCTACATTGAGGACAACCTACATCAGTGGTGCATACCCTACATTGAGGACAACCTACACCAGTAGTGCATACCCTACATTGAGGACAACCTACACCAGTGGTGCATACCCTACATTGAGGATAACCTACACCAGTGGTGCATACCCTACATTGAGGACAACCTACACCAGTGGTGCATACCCTACATTGAGGACGACCTACACTATTGGTGCATACCCTACATTGAAGACAACCTACACCAGTGGTACATACCCTATACTGAGGACAACCTACACTAGGTGGTGCATGCCCAACACTTAGGGAAACACTACTCTAAATGACTTGCCATGGAAGTGCAATCTCAGCCCTCAGGTGTCAGGACTAAACCAGGGGTGAAGAAACCAAGACCCAGCACCAGCATGTGATCAAACTCTGGCCCACTCAATGCAAAAACAAACATGACTGGACTTCTGCATTAGTGTTTATTTTTATGTTGGTGATGAGTGGATCTTTCTTTTTATACTCTGTACTGTGTTCTCTTAGGTGAAGGCTCTCAATGTGTGGAATCCCAGCAGAGATTCAGCACAGGATACATCCAATGTATGCATGAACTCCACAACCTGCTTCTTAACTGTGACTGGATGGACCAAGCTCTTGGTGCGCGTCTCCTCAACCACCTGCTGAAATCCCTTCCTAGGGTCAAGGATGCCAGCCCTGAGCTGCCCATAAGCTGTGAGGAGAGTGCTGGGAGGACCATGTCACCAGCTCTGAAACCTGATCCTGACCCAGAGCCGCAGAATATTCTGCAAAAACACTGCCCCCTTGTGGGCTCTCTTCAGATGTGGAGGCCCTGGTAATTATACAACCATAGTGACTCTTAGTGCAGACTGGGTAACCCATAGGCATACTCACTCTGCTCACCTCTGTCTCCTTAACATATATTCACTGTCACTATATATGTCCCTCGTCTCTTACAGTTACACCGGGTGTAGGAGCAGAGAGTGATGCTGCTGTCGGTCCTAGCGTTTCTTTTGTACCAATATGTATCTTATAGATATGCTTTGTTTAACACATTGGGGTGCACACCCCTTTAGGTGTACTAAAGACCCAGTGCTCCTGGCTGGAGCCCCATGTTTGTAGCCTGCATTGTAGAAGGCTTCTTCTCCCCATATTTATTACAGATCTTTTCATGTAACATTTCTATTCACTTAAGATAATTTACACTCTCTTATTACAAATAAATATAATATATACAGTAACCCTTTGCAGACTTTTATTTCTGGTAAAGCTTGTTATTCCCCAACAGCTGACTGCATGCCATGGATCTGAAGTATATGTTTGTGCGTTTATCTATATATAAAGAGCAACACAAAAGCTATATACCAGCCAAGAAAAGCATTTCCACAAGTCAGAACAAGGCAGAGTAACCTCCTAGTGCTCATATTGCTGTGTTTGGATGAACTTGCCATGTCTAATCCCAGGGGGAAAACCTGTTCACAATATGAGATCACTTCATGAGATCAAGAGACAACCTTGTTTCAAGTGGATCCATCCTGTCCATATTCTTCATTCACAAAGCTTTACAGCAGGATAAGGATCTTTATCTTCTGTCATGTGACTGAAATTTTCTAATCTCATTGGACTTGGCTGAAGATATCTGTAGCTTTAAGGATCCTTATCCTGCCATGTTAGCTTTGTGCTTTCAACCTTCTGCATTTAATATCTGTCAATCTGATTTCAATCTGCACTAAAAAACAAAAGCCTCAATCTGGAACTCATAGGGCAATACAAACAGTTTTTATTTCACTTTAAGTGATGAGTCCTGGTGTTCACCAATGGCCCAAACTGCAATTATTTTCCTTTTACTCTTCTGTTGATTAGAAATCTGGGCAGACATGTTCACAAATAACCTTTTTGGCAGACATTCACACCACCATATAATTAATATTTCCCTACCTGAGAAGCACATATGCATTCAGCATAATCCTATACTATAGTCTGTGCCCCTGTGTGTAGCAGATAGAGGTGGAGGCTGTTCTTCTTCTGGGAAATAAGAGAATATTGTCAAAGTAGACATACAGAGCCATCTCAAGTGTTGCCCATCCTTGGCAGCATTGGTTGACAGTCATATAATAGTCATATAATATCATACACTTGGTTTAATAGTAAAGTTAAAACTTCATATGAATTGATAGGCCACATGTTCACATAGGTCTTATGTCTACAAAAACATATTTATTTATTATATTAAGCATAAAAAAAGATACATTTTGCTTCCCATGAGCTTTAGCCCCCTTTTTTCAATCAAAGCACCCTTTAAAAGTGTGCAGAATCTAGAGGCACCCCAGTCTAAAATGTAAGATGTAAGATATATAAAGTGTCCCTACAAAATCCATATTAGACCCTTATATGAGATAGAGGTCTGGTATGAATTTAAAAGAGATCCCATGCAAAAACACACAAAAAAGTGGGGTTTTCCCTTCACATTATAAGCCCCATTTACAC